GAAAACTCGACTTTCCAAGCTGGAATTTGGCCGGATTTCAGGTATGTCTGGTCAACCATAAGTTGTTCATAGTTGCTCGCACTTTATACGACCGAAATTCCAAGTAAGACGCAAGAGGACACAGAGGGCAGCGAGAGGGAAGAAGCAAAGGTGGCAGCGGCGGAGAGGGCGGGCGGTCCGTAGGGTGGAAGGGAGGAATTCGTAATATAGAGGGCCGCTCTACGACCCCGTTGGGAGGAATTCCGGGGTACGTTTTAAATTGCTGCATCCCCAACCTCCTTGTTTATGTATGCTACCGTGTTTCTTATTCTTGTGCGGCAGCGAAGGAGAGAGCGCGCGCCGCCCTAACTTTATGTGCACAGTGCCGGCATAAGTATGCAATCTATGCGTCGGTGTGGCCCCGGTTTCGTTGTCTGCATGACCGTGCATGTGAAAGCCGTTGTGTCTACGTGTGCCACGGTTGGAGAACGATGTATGAGTGTGCCGCGCGTGCACGCGATCGCGCTCGCGCACCCTTTACGCCGAGCTTTCCCGCGGACACGTGTACGTGTGTGTATTGTATGGTGAAACGTGGTCCTACGTTTCCTCGCACCGTGATGTGCTATAGCCGCTCTCCCCACGATCCGGCCGCGCCGTTTTCTCCCCGTGGATTCTTCTCGTCTTCCGAAGCAACTCCAACGCTCTTTCCTTGCCTTCTTATTCCCCAACTTCGCAGCTCTACCCCTTGTGCTACTCCGCCGTTGTATCTATCTTTCTTCCTCTATTTCTCTCTCTCTCTCTCTCTCTCTCTCTCTCTCATTCTCTCGATCTATCTCTCGATCTCTCTGTCTCTTTTTCTCTCCGTGTTTCTCTATCGCCGACCCCCTTCCGTTCCGTTGCTACCTTCCGGCCTGAATTGCTGTAATCTATGGCCTATGCCGGTGGATTTAACCGTGGAATTGAGCCACGGTGATTTGTACGGTTTATTAATATTGCATCGGTCGTCGGGGTTGGAACTTGGCCATGGGTTTTCATAGATTTTCAACGACGACCGGGATGATTATACGCACGTGAACGAAACGGGATATCGAGTGTGTGACCGCGATGCACACGGTGTAAACCAATTTTCTGACCGTGCAATTGCGGACTCATTTCTGCGGAATGTTCTTCTATCGTTCGGGCATCGCTGACGGCCGCGGAATATTTATGAGGCCTGATAGATGTACGGTATGTATCGAATTCGCGTTTGCAAAGTATTGCGGTTGTTTGCAACTGGGTTCTGTATAATTTTTTTGGCTTAGTGTTTTATTTTGTCTGATTATTATTCTAGATAACGATTTGCTCGCAGTTTCATTATCTACAGGAAACTTATTTATCCATGTCCGCGAATTTTATGTTTTTTTGTTCTAGAACTTTGCCAAATTTGAGTTTAATGGAGAGTATCGCAGTTGTTTTGTACAATTTTTTTGCTTAGCGTTTTCATTTAACTATTATTCCAGGTGATAGTTTATTTCCAGAGTGCAATTACTTATTAATATTTTAAAGATCGATTAACTCTTTGAGTGTTTAGCGTCGTACAGATAATCTGAAATTATTATAATAAATATATCAAAAGGGGAATGCATTCTGAATTTGTTACAGACT